CCGGGCAGGAAAACTTTTGATGGTCCTGAAATTGCCATTTCTGATGGATTTTGAAGCTATTTTATGAGCTAGAAGATTGTTACCTGAGATAAGTCAGAAACGTCCTAGAAATGTACTATAAATTTGCCGTAAATGGTAATTTTAGAATCATTAAAAGTTTTCCTTGCCCGGACCTTTCCTCATTGCAAACATGAGGCGGAAATGATTTCTACATATGTTCTTTCAGATGTCCTGAAATGCGCCACAAAGTCTCCTGAAACATGAACTCTTTGCTGTACTGAAATGTAGCCATATTGAGTCATTTCAGGTTCATTTCAGGCTACACAAAATTTATCATTTTCCTGCACCGCAAATGGCTACGAAAGTGGTAGCAAATCTATCATTTTGGGACACCAGAAAGCCCCGGTTAAGTCTTCGAAAATGAGACAGGTTTTGATGGGTTGACCAGGACATTTCAGGTGATCTGAAACCAGCTCATGCCCGTAGTGATGACGGAGGCAGACAGTACGTGCCTAGCTTCTTTGACAGGGGGCGGTGCTCAGATTAACCTTTGTTTAAAGTCCTTTTTTCACAGATCCTAGTGGGTCAATTGACTTCCGAGACCTTCGAACGATCACTTTCCTCGCCTCTAAATACGACACCCCCCATATTTTAGAGGAAGCGCACCGCCGCCTCCGGATTTGTTTTCCTTCATCGTTGAAGGATTGGGACTCACGTTATTGCACGTCGTCTTCGTCCCTCGACTTTCCCTTCGATACCATTGCCCTGAAACCAATTGACACCATTGCCGTCATCAACCTCGCACGCCGCTGCAGCTTCAATGATCTCCTGCCAGCCGCAATCTACACTTGCTCGCAGCTACCTCTGTTGGATCTTGCTGCAGATGTGCACTACGGCACAGGGGACGTGGAACGGCTGTCACAAGGAGACCTGACGCAATGCCTACATTTCATTGACACGTTCTCCCGTGACGTGGCAAGCTTAATTGAAGATATACGCGATGGGGTCGCACTTACCGCAGAGGGAGAGGCTTATGAATGTTACTGTGATGGCTGCACAATGGTCCGCGACTCGTACATGGAAGACACTCACCACATCCACATGCCACGCGATTTCCTCCTGCACGTCAAGAAGCTGTTGGATTGTCTTTCACAAGACTACTCTACATGTTCTCGTTACCAAGGCATCGTACTGAAAATTCGCCCAGAGACACGTGACGTTTTATGGGCAGAACTACGATCTCTTGCCGGGCTAACAAACGTGAGCCGTTTTGTGAGACAAGGAAGTACTTTTACTGACTGACTTCCAGGATGCCCCGTAGGTCTCTGGATCCGAGAGCCCTCCCGTAGCCTGTTTTTCACAAGGCATGATACTTCTTGTCGAACACTTGGACAATCGCCCAAGTTTTTTGTATCTGGGAACTACTGTAATGTTGGGCAAGAGCCTGAGGCTCCCAATCGACTGTTGCGTCATATGGCATGCGTGACGTGCGAAAAAAAGCTCAGCCAACGTGATAATGGCGACGCCCGTTTTCTCTCAGTGCTTTCAGCTTCCCTTGTAGTGCCGGAAGAACTAACAAGAGGGCACTTTACTCACTTTCCTGCAGTGCAGAATTTTGCTTATGCTCGTTCTGAGTGCAGGGCGGAGGCTCGCAGAAAGGTCTAACTCACCCTTTCCATGATCCATGGACGTTTACTCCAGCATATCAATGATTTCTTCCTTTCATGCCTTCCGAGCTGTAGTACTGTACATACTGTTGCCCCTTCTTGATATTTCAGACCACAACGATTCTCCAGCGCTACCGTGTTCGTTCATGCCGCATCGGGGGCGCGCACAGTCAAAAAGTTCGCTCCGACGAGCTCGAGGCCGTACTTGTTCGCGAACGCCCAGACGTCCCACTTGCGGCGCTGCTCGCGCTCGTTCAGGTGCTCGGGCGCGTCATGCGGAATCTGCACGCCTGCGGGTGGCTCGGTGAACAGGAGGAACGCTGCAAGCGAGTCTGATGAGCGTTATCCACAGGGAACGAGACATGAGACCCCACGCACTGTAGCGGTGCACGCCTGTGTTTGGGCGCGGATCGGGCGCGCGGTAGGGCGTGACGGCCGGCTGGGTCTCGAGTGCTGCGGCGCTCGCCGTCGTGCTCGCGCTGTCGGGCTCCGCAGGGGGCTTGAGGCCCGTTATCTGCAATAGACGACGCTCCACGTTTGTGCCTACACACAGAGGGAAATGAGGGCACGCACAACCCAGTGCCGAAAACTCCTGTTCGTCGGCTCCGCGCGCGAGGGCACGTCCGGGTCGAGCATCACGAGCGTATACGACGGGTCCGCGTTTGCATCCTCCGGAGTGGATGCAACGCTCATCGGCGTGAAACTCACAACGGGCTCGTCCAAGGTCTCGTCTCTGCTGAACTCGTTTCCAAGCAGGACCTCCCTGCCCGTGCCTGTCGGGTACAGCACCGCGAAGAGGTGCGTCGGCGTGAAGCTGCGTGCGGCTGGGACGACGTCCGGGATGATGCCGCTGCGCTCGAGCGCGGTAACGACGTTCGAGAGCGGATCGTGCGCCATCGTGCGTGGGTGCGTCGTGGTCGTCGTGGTTAGGGGTGAAGGTGTTTCGGGTGGCTCGCCGTGACGGCCGCGGGCTCTTCGGCCCGCTCACAGACAAGACGTCATGGCGCTGCGCCTAGGTAACGCCACAAGGATGATGCGCCCGATATTTTCTTTGAGAATATGTCGGGCCGTCTCTTGCTTGATTCGGACAGCCCGATGGCCGAGCCGGTTACATAAGCGTCCAGCCAGAAACGAGCACTGCACTGTCCCTCTACATGGTGAAGCTCACTTCGTTAATCTCGCAGTCCATTTCTCAGTACCTGTCTTTCCCATGCGTGCGCATCGAACTACCCCAGATATATCAACCTACCCAGAGCGTAGTCCTTGGGACTACGATCCACCGCCGTACAACCTCGTTCCCGAGCCGGAGGACTGGGGTCAACACGACACGCCCGAACTCAGAGCTGCCGCCCTCGTCGTCGCCAAACACACGGACTGCAACCCGTTTACCGGCACCAACCCGCTGCATGTTGTGGACGTGATGGCCTTCAACTCCTTCCCTTGGGACGCCTGCGTGCAGCCTCCGCCACTGCCCCAGGTCGTGCTGCCCGCGGACATCGAGTTCGTCCAGCAGCTGAACCGCAGTGGGAACTCTGCCGCGCTCGTCGCGCAGCTCGGCGGCAAGGACATGGTCATGAAAATCGTACGTTCAGTCGCGCTCCGAGCACCGCGAACCGTGCGCCCACATGATGATCTCGCTTCCAGTTCCCAGATCGCCCGGCGATAGAGGACGAGGACGACGACCTGGGCTCGTACGAGATCAAGCCAGACCCGCGCACCTTGTTCGAGCGAGAGAGCAACGCGTACGCCCACCTCATGCGCTACGGCGCGTGTGCCAAGGGCGCCGTGCCCCAGTGCTACGGCTGGTGCGTGCTGTCACGGCAGGACATTGAGAAGATCCTCGCTCTGCCCTCTCTCTCGAAGAGCGCGCGCTCCCTGGAGTCCGAGGAGAACCCGCCCAAGGCGCTGCTCATCGAGTATTTCGCGGGCGCACAGCCGCTCTCGGAGCGTGCCATCACGCCGCAGATGGCGCAACGCGCACTCAGGGCGCTGTACGCGTGCCACGTCGCGTTTGTGATGCACCAGGACATCCACCGGCGCAACATCCTCCTTTGCCCGGGCGGGCGGGTCGTGTGGATCGACTTTGATCATGCCGAGTGCGCGTCGGAGGACACGAGCGGGCGCCGCATCTTTTTTAAAGAGCTCAAGGAGGGCTGGGATTATATTTACGACCGTTTGGTGAGCCGTCCGTGTCGTATGATCCGATGCGATATCTGATTTTTTCGGCAGTTGACGGACGCGCGTATCGGATATCATCATCTCTAAAAGTGACTGTCGCGCTGTACACCTATTATCATTATTGCTATTGTTAATTTACGATACAGAATTACGAGATTTGGTGCTGCGTCCCATAGTCTGTACCGGCTACATAAAGTTTACCGACTAGCTTCCCTGATGTACCCAATTCTTTTGTCCGGGAGCTACAGAAGCATATTGTCAGTACTGCCTGGAACATCTCTGTGACCCACCAGCACAACCTACCAGCCGCTTATAAAACAACTCCCACCCTTCGCGCAACTCCCGGTAAAACTCGAGCCTGCTCAGACCCCTCTCCGCCGTCGCGCACGCCCCCTCGCCAAACTCGGTCCACACGACCCGCACCCTGAGCT